GAACAAGAACGATCCTATCAATAATAGTAGTATAGTTTATTCAGTGGAACAAAATTTATCTGTATCTGTATCTTACTGGAAGGTTACAGTAAAAATAAATTTTCTTGATCTTTAACAACTAAAAACCAAGGAAGCCCTGTATTGAACAAATTCTGTGAGCCCCAGCAAGCCCTGTTTTCATTCTTATTCTGTTCAAATAAGAACAAATGGAATTTCGTGAGAATATACAGAAGTATTCATGCAGAAAGCCAAGCAGCATCACTACAGTATTAATAAAGTTTTCAGGATTCAAACTGTAAAGCAGTAATTCCCAACCAGAGGATGGGAATTTTGTAACTTCCAGTTACAAAAGGAAGAGTTCTAAGAATCACTCAGCAGGCCTTGTTAGAGCCACCAAAAAAAAACAAATCCCCCACAGTTAGAAAAATTATATGCTTTACAAAAATAGGGCACAAATATCAAATTGTATCATCATGTCAACAAATTATAAAGCTAGTTACCTTCTCCCGTGAGACAGGATTTCATTACCACTATTTTAATTTGAAATAGGGTAAACTATCCCTAGAGGGGATAAACTATCCCTAGAGGGAAAAAAACCCCAAAACATTCTTCTTCATGTTCAGAACAATTATGTTGTTGCAACACTCAGTTTTTGTGCAATATAACCTTGCAGTTCTTTAAACAATCTGAAGACTGTGGAACTCCCTATATCTTTAAAAATACAACAAGAAGGTAGCACCTTGGAAATAGTTATAGATTTAACATCTGACCCTAAATGCTACCCCTACAAGCATTGCTCATATACCTTTCAATTAAATTTAGGAGAACATATATATAATATTAGAAGCAACAGAAAGAAAATACTTTCAGTGTGCTTGGTGCAGAACTGGACTATTTGTTCAAAAGTGAAGATTGTTAGCTTTTTGCATACTGTAGTTACTAGGTTGGAAAGGTTTTTTGGGGGGTGTGAGGTTTGTTTTGTTTTCTCATTTCTTTTTATTTTTTTTAGTATGTGATAATGATTGAGTCCCTGATATCAGATATTGAGCTTATAATTTCCCACAATGTAAAAAGTCAATCTGATGATCAGCAAATTGAAGCCTGGAAAGGTGAGTCAGAACACTGATCCACCAGAAACATATTCTGAGGGGCAATGACACCACACACAAAGCCAGTGGCAGTTTTATTTTAGACGTAGAGTATGAAAATTGAAGAGAAATGCTAGGGACAAAGCAGCACTACATCCTGAGGCTCTGAGGCTGTCAAAGAAGCACCAGAGCTAACAGTGCACTAAGTGCCAAACTGCAAGTGGAACCAGGGTGCACAGCTCTGAAGATCACAGCTGGTGAACTCAGGCAGATGGAAAACTGCCCATAGCAAGTTTCAACTGAAGACTTCCACTCCAAACCAAGACCAGAGACACCTGATGAACTGGAAAACAGAAAAAAGAAACATAATGAGGAAATAAGTATGAGGAATTAAAATAAAGAAATAAAAGAAATAAAATGAGGAAGTAATTTAAGCTACTTCGGATTCCAAAGGCTTATCAGATCCAACAGAAAAACGGATTAACTGATTAAAGCAAACACAAAGGTAGTTGAATGCTGTTGGCGTAACAGCCTTGAAAGGTTCATATATTTGTGATCTCGCAGTGAAATCATGCCAGAGATTAAAAATCCAGAAGAGAATCCAGCTGGTACCAATCTCTTTGCAGAAGATGAGACATGACCATGACTAGATTGCTACCATGGACACTTGCTGGGATGATTCACTCAGCTGGAGTGCTGTGATTGATGGCTACAAACTATTCAAAAGGGACAGGCAAAAAAAGACAGTTGGGGGAATTTCCCTCTATGCCAAAAATTAGATTGATTGCACAAAGATGTCTTTGAAGAACAGCAGTGTGCAAGTCAAGAGTTGTGGACGGCAATTAGAGATTGAGCCAACAACAGAAACCTTGTGGTTGGTGTCTACTGTACATTACCTGATCAAGGAGAGGAGGTTGGTGAAGAGTTCTTTCTTCATCTACAGGAAGCATCACGTTTGCAGGGCACAATCTCAACAGAAGATTTCAGCCACACTTCAGGATGTTTGCTGGGAAAATGGCACAGCCAACTGCAAGCAGTCCAGGTAAATAGAGAGGAGCATTTCTTGACTTGTTTCTCATTAGTACAGAACAATTTATGAGAGAGACCAAGACGGGAGGCAGCCTGGGCTACAGCAATCAGGCCCTGGAGTAATTTCCAATGTTGAGGGGTATGGGTCTGGCAACAAATAGGGTAAGGACCCTATGGCACATAATGCAGTTTGAAAGAAGAGGGGAAGTTAGCAAGATACAGGTGGCAGGAAACATGAGGAAGCAACTCTTGGACATGAGGAAACATGAGGAAGCAACTCTTGTCCAAGCTTGCAAAGCTTGGACACTCTGCAAAGCAAGAATGGAAGGAAGCAGGTCAAAAAAGAAAATAGGAAGTGATAGTGCACAGACAATGTAGGGCTGGGTCTCAAAGGTAAACTGCAGAAGACCTGTACACATTTCAAAAAGAAAGCGGGGTTTTGAACTGGATTTTTCTCCTGAGGAGTTATTTCAAGGTGATCTATTGTTAGTCCAAGGAATGAGATGTGCTGCTGAGTTCTGAAGGTAAGATTACAGAGGAGTYACAAGGACATCAAAAGGGAATTAAAGGCAATATAAACAGGACACAAGATTTCAACCCAGCTAGACAGTGCACTCAAACAGATATGTGCTGACAGTGGGAACAGAAGCACAGACTGAGATCCAGAACCCTGCTGCTCTGAGAGGAGTCCTTGATTTCTGTGCCACACAATATCCTTGTCTCTAAATGGGAGAAACACAGATTTGACAGACGGACAGTCACATTCAAAGGCTTGYGGTCAATGGCTCAAARGTCCCAGGTAGAGGCCAGGGAGAAGCAGATTCCTCCAGGGCTGTTGTTTGGACCAGCACTGTTAAAGATCTTTGTCAGTGACATGGACAGCAGAGCTCTCCCAGCAGATTTGCTGATGACACCGAGCTGTGTGTGGTGGGCACTGCAGGGAGGGGATGTCACCCAGAGGGACCTCAACAGGCCTGTATAAACCYCAAGAAATTCAACAGGGCCAAGTGCAAGGTCCTGCACCTGGGTCATGGCAATGAAAAGCACACAGAGCTGGGCAGAGAATGGATTGAGAGCAGTACTGAGAAGTACTTGGGATGCTGGATGATGGAAAGGTTGATATARCCCAGCAACATGCACTGGCAGCCCAAAAAGTCAAATGTGTCCTGGGCTGTATTAAAAGATTGTGGGCAGCAGTTCAAGGGAGAGGATTTTGGCTCTGTGCTCTACACCCATGGAGCATTCTCCCCCCACCTGGAGTGCTGTGCCCAGCTCTGGAGTTCTCAGCATAAGAARGACATGGACACGCTCAAGCAGACCCCAAGGAGGGCTGCAAAGTCATCCAGGGAGTGGAACCTCCCCTGTGAGGACAAGCTGAGAGACCTGGGGTTATTCAGCCTTCAGRAGGCTCCAGGGAGGGCTTAGAGCAGCCCTCTGGAGGTGCTACAGAATAGTAGAAGAGAAACTTTTTACCAGAGAGTCCAGTGATAAGAGGAAGGATTAGGGTTTTAAACTGAGAGAAGTTTTAGACCAGATATTAGAAATTAATTGTTTACAGTGAGAGTGGCAAGGCACTGGAACAGGCTGTCCAGATATGCTCTGGCTGTTTCATCCCTAGATGAGTTCAAGGCCAGGCTGGATGGGGCTTGGAACAGCCTATCTCCCATGGCAGGGGCGGTAGAACTAGGTGATGTGTAAGGTCCCAAACATGCTGATCCAAACACTTTTCACAGCTTATATAAGCAGTTTATGTGGCTTGTAGGTAGTTATTTTTAAGAGATGGAGAATAATTGCATTTTGCAGCTTTATATATGTATAAAAGTTTGTTTTCCTTAGTGTTCAATCAAGCACAGAATAAGGGACGAAGGGGAAACCAGAAGCTGCCACAAAGGTGTCTACAGAGTTGCGACTGCCTCATAACAGCCTACCATGTAACCCTATCCAAAACCCTGAGAACTTCCCCTTTACTTGAGGAAAGTTACGTTAATTACTGTTGATATGGCTAGTTAGGAAAAAACTGATTCCTCTTTGTCGAATGGTCAAACCAAATTAACTTACCAACACCTGCAGAATCTGAATGCTTCTACTGTATTAATCCAGGCATAGATAACATGAACCTTGAATGGAAACAAGCTTACTTTTCACATTTGCTTTCTCATTCTTTCCAACATGGTGGCATTCTAGGATAGAGTGACTACATCAGTGAATAAAAGAAGGGTGACAGGTGCCCTTTATGTGTAGTTCTGAAAAGCCTTTGACAGCATCCTCCACAACATCCTTCTCTCTAAACTGGAAACAGATTTGATGAGTGAACTGTTAGATTGGCAGAAAGTGATTGGATTGCCATGTCCAGAGGGTGGTGGCCAACAGCTCAGAGTACCGATGGACAGCAGTGAAAAGTGGTGGCCCTTGAGGCTCCCTACAGGGACCAGTACTGTTTAATGTCTTGATAAATGGCACAGATGAAAGGATCAAGCTGCCCCTCAGGATGTWCTCAGATGACACCAAGCTGAGGGTGCAGTTGACATTCTTGAAAGACAGGATGCCATCCAGGGGGACCTGGACAAGCTCAACAAGTGACCCCTGGGAATCTCAGGAGGTTTAACAAAGCCAGGTGCTGGTGCTGCTCCTGGGTCAGGGCAATCCCCGGTGCCAGCCCAGGTTGGGGATGGATAGATGGAGAGCAGCCCTGCCCACAAGAGCTTGGGGGTGCTCTGGATGAGAGCTGGACATGAGCCAGCCAYGGGCRCTGCCAGCCCAGAAAGCCAAGTGTGTCCTGGGCTGCACCCACAGCCCCATGGACAGCAGGGGAGGGAGGGGATTCTGCCCTGCTCTGGTGAGACCCAGCTGCAGAGCTGCCTCCAGCTCTGGGGTCCCAGCACAGGGAGGACAGGGRGCTGTTGAGAGAGTMMAGAGGAGCCACCAAGGTCACCTGAGGGATGGAGCACCTCTGCTATGGGGAACAGCACAGAGAATTGGGATTGCTCAGCCTGGAAAAGAGAAGGCTTTGAGGTGGCCTTCCAGTCCCTGAAGGGACCCCACAAGGATGGAGAGGGACTATTCATAATGCCATGTAGTGACAGGATAACCTGGTCTAGAAGAAGGTGTCCCTGCCCCTGCAGGGGGGTTTGGAGCCAGGTGACCTTTAGTGTCCCTTCCAACCCAAGCCAATCCATGACTACATATTAATATTTTATACAGAATTGTTTTCCTATTATAATCAAAACAAGCAGAATTTACATTTTTATTTTGGTGGCAGATTTTATTTCAAACCCTAGTTTGAAAGTCCTGTAGTAATGTCAACAGAAGGTACTGAACCATCAATCAAATAAAGAAAATAGTGTCACCAGCTGCTTCAGGAAGCACAGATGCAAGCACATGACGACAAACAGGGCATGTTCCCGACTACAAGAAGGGAAAAAAAAAAGATCAGGTCATTTGCACAGTTTGCATTCAATTCTAGTGCAAAGCTAAAACTTATTATTTAAAACGTATTTAGTGTCTTCACAACCTCAAACTCAAATTTGACTGCATAGCTACCTGGAGCTGACAGACAGCTAACACAAACTCAGAAGATARACTTGTTTTTCTTTTAGACCAGCTACACCTCAAGTGCATCAGGTTCTTCCCAAGTTCTTCTTCAAAGCATTAAGTTCACAGGTGGGATTTTCTTTTTCTGAGGCAAGGATCAAAAAAAAGCTAGATACAGCCCAAACCTAAGAGGAAGTATCTTGTCCTACTTTTCAGCAAGAGCTGAAGAGTTTACTGTACAATAGAAGAAAAGGCAAGATGTGTAAAACAAGAAACAGGAATATGGTAATCAACATTATGAAGGCAAAAATTATACACCTACCAACTAAATCAATCAATCCTCCATGTTAGAGGTGTTCTGATATGACTCCCATAGTGCTATCAATTAATCTTTCTCTTATACTCTTGAGGAAATGATGTGCTATACCTTAGGCTCACTGAGACCTACCAAATCCAGGTTTGCACAGCACATAAAGGAGAGTGCAAGTGCAAAGTAAAAAACATACCAGTTCATTATTTACAATTTTTTTAATCTAGCTTCATATGTTTCAAGCCTTTCAAAGATGTTTGGAAGGAAACAGACTACAGATTATGACAATCTAATGAAATCTAATACAGTAAAGAATTACCAAAGGTAGTTTTTAAAAAAATTAATCTACAAGCATTTCAGTATTTCTCCTGCCAGCCTTAGCTGTCATCATAAATGGGCCTGACATTGTAGTAAGACAGAAGACCAGACCCTTTGCTCTTCTCAGAGAAGATTAATTCATCTTCTTTATTTCAAAGTAGGAATATAGTAAAGAAAGCTGTTCTTGTTCCAAAACAAGTTATAACTCAACCATGTCTTTCATCCTTACTAAAATCAAAACATACTTTCCCTTACAGAAATACTCCCTCTAAAAGAAATTGCCCTTCAAGTGAGTACAAATATAAATTTCTTTCCTCATTTGCACTAGAATTTGGTTCCATAAGGCATAAACTTAACAGCCAGTTATTTCTTGGTATGTCATCCCACTCTTCCAAAGAGTTAAAAGTTTTTCTTCCCAGAGGAATACACAAAATACACAAAAGCCCCCAAAAATYCTCCACCAGTCCTGTAGTACTTACTCGCTGTAACCAAAGCGTTACACAAGGTTTGTGAAACAAATGACGACAGGGTAGCTCTGTTATGATCTCTCCTTCCACATACTCACTGCAGCAGATAGTACAACACTGCTCTTGACCTAAACCCATGATGAAGAAAAAGCATTATTACCTTGTTTTCCCTCTACGATGAGCTCAAATTAAAATACATATATTATCAACAGTATCACTAATGGTTACAAAATAGTCATAGTAACTCCAGTAAAGATCAGTTTTTCCGAACAGATCAAAACTGTACTTAGATTAAAAGGATCTTAAAACAGCATTATGCAGTAAATATGTTTAAATATTCCACCTATGGTATTGCATAATTGAACTTATTCCTTAGAAACTTCATGGAAATTACTTTTTCATTATTTTTCCATACCATTGTGGTCACCTGTGACAAACATCTGTGGTAGACAATCTATGGTTTCTTTCGTAGCTGGGGGATGAGTCTGTTCAACATCAAATGTAAGAGACTCCAACTGTGCCAGAGCAGTCTGAAAGGGGCAAGCAGAGACCAAGTTCTCTAACTTAAAGATATTACATTTCATTCAAAAACAAACAAGCAAGAAAAGGAATCCAATTCTAGCAGAATTACTTTTTGAAATAGAAGATATGTCTATCAGACTAATCACTACATCATTTAAATTTTTTGTATTGATGAAACTTAAGGTCAAAACAGTAATGCCTTGTTTTTTGAGCTTTCTTAGGAGTATGAGGACAGAGTCAAAAATTAATCTAGAATAAACATTTATTAATTTTATAAAGTTACAGAAAAGAAAGTATGTTGAAAATGTAATGAAGCTTGCCAATATAAAAATGACCTTGCATTTTGCTTCTAAAAATAAATGGCTCATTAATGTGTTTCCTGGCTTCAACTATTGAATTACTCAGGCACAAACAAAAAATATTAAGTACCCTGGCTACACTTACAATGTAAACTTCCAGAAATAAAAAACCCAAGATCCACATAGAAGTTTTTTACCTTAGACAGGCAAAATGCTATGAAATAACTTTGTTTTAAAGTAAGTTTCTCACCATACAAAATCTTTAAGACTTCAAGGCTACAGCAAGTATATTTGTGGTGTACATCATACATTAAACCATGTAAGACATTGGAAGGTATGCAGTAGAAAAAAAAATAAAATCACAGAACTCAGAATATTTGGTTATATTTGCTAAGAAATGTACTAGCTATATCTGTTTGAACAGCAAACACACTGAAATTGAAGGACCAAGAACACTGAAGCACTGGGTTCACACACTGAATGAATTAATCACATCCCTTAAGTACTTACTGCTCTTATAATTTTGAAAGTTAATTACTCTAATGGCCACAAAACTCTCTTAGGAAGAAGTAAAAGACAGCTTGACATTTTTGTAATGTTGGGAATACACTTAACTAAAAAGCTCCATATACTAGAGAAACATTGCATTACACAGAAACCTCTTCAGAAGTCTTTTCTCTTAAACTTCCCCTAAACTTGAGCTTCAACCTGAAAACGTCTGCACTTGGATCACAGTAACAAGGCAGTGTAAGCAACCATGCTACCACAGATCTTAACTAGCAGGTTTACMCCTACTGTCAGACCTTTGTGGTAGAGATCAGCATGAGCTAAAAAAATATTTACAGCTCCAACTGCCACATGTATTCTCATCTAGAAATCTGTCAGTTTAAGGGAACACCCTGGGGTTATTCCTAGTGCAGTGTGCAAGTCCCCCTGGTTAACAGGTACACTGCTCCAATTTAACAGCCAAAACCCATCAAATTCTGGTACAGCACACAATACTACCTTACCAACATCAAGATGATTTTAGTATTTGTAATTGGTTTTTGCTACAACTGCAATGGTCTGAGAATAAATTTTAGGTAAAAATACTATGCTTAATTAGATTAACTACTACACCTGGAAAAACATGGTAAGATCCCATGCACATAGAAGGATTCAATATTACTTATGTGTCAAACTTCTCTGTTTATATCCAACATGAGTATTCTCTAACAGAAAATATTGTATTGCTTGCTTGCCTTTGAAACTCACGCAATAGAAACATCATAGACACAAAGCCTCAGTGACTCTGATGCTTAAAGTCACATTTTCAAACTCAAAGCAGTGTCTGTTTAACAACTTTTATAAGATGTACCTTCAAAATACCTGTACTTCTTTTCTCTTTTTATTTGTGTGACTGCTTACGTCTCCATGTACTGTAAACAAAATGCTGGACATTGTTCTGTTACAATCAAGAGTGCTACAGCCTACAGGAGTTTGAGCTCCTCACATCTGTGAATTGGCACAGGAAATACTTATAAATGAAGTCACTTATGCAATAGAGGCAACCAGGCTGTTCTGTACTCCTAATGAAGTAAACCAGACACTCCCAGCTACATTGTCGCTTTATAACAGATGGAAGAAAAAAACCCCAAAAAATCACACATACATTTTATTAACTTTTAGGAATACAGAGCCAGACATACTATAGCTTTTCAAACCAAGTATCTATTATTTTCATTACTTCTCCCCTCCAAATGCCACAACTATTTGGGACAGATCTCTCCCACTCCCTCCCCTACAATTAAGATACTAGAATTTTGTATGCTTTATTGCACAATACAACTGTTCCTTCTATTATTCTGTTATCACTTTCTGCTAATTCAAATATGCCAGACTTCTATGCCCACCATGAAGTTTCACACCCGTAAGTGCTTCTTTCAAACACAAATGGTGCATAAGAGAATTGACTTTCCCACATTCACAGTGTCCTGTACCACAGGTACCTCTGCAGTCATCTCCCTGCTTGCTAATGGTGCTCAGTGACACTGTTCCTGGTGACACAAACGTAATTACAGCACCTCCTCAGACACCCGTTCACATAATCACCTAGGATTAATTTTACAGGTCACCCTGACAAGACTGCACAGGTTTATTCTGACAGAGTAATTACACAAATGTGGTTACACAGGAATGATGAAGAAAAACTAAAGAGTGAAAATAAGCCTAGTCTCCTCTTCAAGTGTTAATGTGCAGATGGAAAAAAAAGGGGATTAGTTTCCCCTCTCTRCACAGATCCTCTTGCTTTGGTGCAAAGGAGGAGGTTAACTGTTTCTGCAGTTCTGGGCTTTTTTGATGTAGTGAGCACCAGCAGCTATGAAAGAGACAAGAATTTTCTCTATACAGCTTCAAAATACTGCTATTACAATAAGGATATCAACAGACCTTCACTGTGTTAAAAAGCAGTTTTGAAGTGTCTCCAAATGATAATGCTAACAAGATTCTACACAGCTGCAAAAGACCCTGTGATACTTAACCATGAATGATGACCTGCCATATATATTGGGGGATGTACAATAGCTGGAGATTGCATGACTGCTAACTTAAGGGAACAGCCTTTCCACTGTCTTAGAAAACACCCTTGAAGCTTATTCAGAAAAACATTGATTTTGCACATATCCATGGAAAAAAAAGCCCCACTACCAATGATTGCTTTAATGTTTGCCAACTTTAGAGAACATTTCAAAGTGCCTTTGGTATCTTGTCTGCAAGCACACTATGACATACAGGCTGCCCTCTTCACCACTTTAAAGTAGGTGCTTACATCAAACTGCCCCTTGCTGCCCCAAACTTATGTCATCCACAAAACATTCATCCACAAAACATTCAGTTCAGCTGTTAGAGCACCATATTATACGTTTGCACATCATTTAACTCTTATTTTGACAAATACTCAGCACAGGAGRTTTCTGGTAGTGCAAGAATTGTCGCATTGCATCAAACTGGATTACAGCTAGCTCTATATTTATTCTGACCTTGACCAACCTAAGTAACATACAAAARACAAAGATCATAACCATGCTGGTTCTTGATAATAAATGCTTTGGTCTATTGAAAATTAGACAGGTTAAATGGGATTAGAACAAGGTAAAAATAAAAGGCATTTTTTCTTTTGGGTGACTTGTTTTTCTGATTGGGGTTTTTTGTTTGTTTTTGGGTGGGGGGGGTTAAACTTTTTTAAAAATTTAAAATAGATGGAGTCAAGACAGTCAAACACGGAAAAGTCTTCTACTAATAAATTAAAATTTGATAAATCCAACTATTGCAAAAAAAAAAAAAAGAAAGCTGGGACAATTCACAGGCAATTCACAGATTCAAGCATAAGCTTTTTTTTATGTAGAGAATTTGGCAATTGGTATATTTTTATAGTGGTAGAAATCAGTAACTTCTTTTTTCCCTTATGAAGAAATAAATATATATTCTAGAAGGAGTAGGTACTGATCAATAACGTTTTGTAGAACAACCTTTAAAAGAACTTCTAATAAGATTTATTTTCCTGTTTGCAGACCTCAAGGTTCAAGGTAACACAGGAAAGTATTTTTTCCCTTATTCTCCAGATGTTCAGATTCTGTCAAAAAAGGATTCAATTATAAACATTTATGTCACAAGATCACCTGATAAAAGACCATCAAAAGTATTTTAATACCTCCACAGCTTCTAACCGTCCCTCTAGCGCCATGAATGTGAGAAATTGAGATTCCATGTGAGGAATGGCTTGAGCAAGTCCTAGGCCATCACCAAACTCATCAAGTAATCTGAAAAACATGAATTAAGAAACACCATCCTATTTAGAAAATAAATCATTACAATACAAAGTCTGGGTATATCAAATTATTGCACATCACCTGTTAATAACTGCCAGATACCCCACCAGCTGATCTCTCACTCCCCTGCCTGAATTGGACATGTAAATAAGACTAATAGCTGATGGGTCAAGATAAAGACAGAGAGCTAAGTCATCAATCACCACCACAGGCAAAAGAGACTCAGTTTAGGAAAAACCTTAATTTAATCAAAAGACTGAATCAGATGGCCTTTTGAGCTTCAAGATAAGCTGCTCTATGATTCTATGAATTTACTACCAATAAAAATGGCATCTGATGGTGAGAAAGACAAAATCGAAACCGCTTTTCCCTCAGCCCTTTTTTTTTTTTTTTTTTTTTTTTNGATCTTAGACCTTCCTCCTTGACTCCTCTATGTTCTTCTTATCCCAAGCAGGGCAGAGGGACAACGAATAAAGGTTGTGATCAATCTACCGTAGATCTTCTCTGCAATTACTTCCTCCTCACATTATTTCCTTGCTCCTGCATGGGTCTTTCCCACAAGCTGCAGTCCTTCATTAACTGCTCCAGCATGGCTTCTCCATAAACACATCCCTACCTGTTCCATCATGGTCTTCTCCAGGGGCTGCAGGTGAATCTCTTCTCCAGCACCTAGAGCACCTCCACCCCCTTTTTTTCTGACCTTGATATCCGCAGAGTTGTTTCTCTCACATCATCCTCATTTCTCTCTTATACACTGCTGTCTCCAGCATTTTTTATCCTTAAACACTTTCCCAGAGGTCTCACCCTGTGGTGGGTCCACTGGAGCCAGCTGCAACAGCTGTGGCCCATATGGGGCAGTCCCAGTCTCTCAGAGCTGGCTCTGCAGCCCCCTACCCCTGGTCCCAGTACAATGGTACTACAGTCCACAAAATATGTACTTCCAAACATATTGATAGAATTTTTTACTGTGGAAGGGCATACAGTTTGGCTAACATGTTTCAAATGTATGCTATTAAGCTTGTTTTAAAAGTTTGCTATTTAAGGTTGCTATCTGTAACAATCAGATTTTGGTTACATCATGTATCACAGTTCATGGGCTTCGAAGCTCATTTGAGTTCCATTTTAGAAATTCARAATCTTAAAATGGTCACAAGTGAAATCATTTACAGGTCTGCATATGCTCAGCAGACAAAACTTAACAGACCATCAGCATCTTTGTCCTGTTTATAGTAACTAGGAAGCTTACCAAGGCTTACCTCCAACACTTGAAACACAGTCTCTGTCCCTATTACACAATTCCATTGACAGCTTATTGCCTGACAGTRTAAGAACACATGCCTTACTTCTAGTTTGGACTCTCAAGCATCGGTCCCTTTTACCCTTTTCCACAATACAACTTCACAAGGAGAAAATACCAAGATTGGTATTTCTGCCTCTTAGTTTATATCCTAATAACCAGAAGAGAGCAAATGTTATGTTTCTCACTGGAAAGTCTTCTGTCTATCTCATTCTAAAACAAACACATTACCATGTGTTTGTAATGTACTACCATACATTATACTATTCTGAATCTGGCTCCAATCACTTCATTCCTGGTATTCGCAGCATTTTTCTAATGAATTTACTGCAATATCCTTCAGTAATCTAACAACAGAAAATTGAGTGGAACATTCAAAATTATGATATTAGGTAAGTGCACAGCATTTCAAAGAGAAATAAAATAGGTTTATAGTGGCTAATTTAGACAAGGTTCAAAGGATGAAAAGACCAATTATAAAACAGGATTGACTTGAATGCTAAATACATTTACAATGCCTTACTTTTGCTACACTTCCACTTGGGAATTAAATGAAAAAATACACCCATACCTTGCATATTTAGAACACCGAAATTGTCTCAAATCAGTCTGACTTATCCAATCTATTCCCTTTTCTCTCACTAGAAGACACATAGCACTTAAAGTACCTTGCACCTTAAAACAGAGATTATCAGTCCTTGAAGCAACTGCATACTGATAGCCATGAATACTTTTGACACCTTACAAAAAAAATAGAATAGTAAGTACAAAACCCCTGAAATTAAAGCAGACAACTATCAAATGCATACCTCCACTCCACATCCAGGTCTTCACTCACACTGGAGTCATCCTCAAGGTTGTTATTTCCATCCAACAAGAAGAATCCAAGATGCACAAAATCACTAATTGGATCATTTTCCTCATCACTGCTACTTTCTACTTCTTCTCGGTATGGTAACCAAGAAATTTCGCCTTCCTCCAATAATGTCTGACCCCTTTATATAAATAAATGAAAAGCTAAAATCAAAAAGCTAAGAATTTACACACACATAAGCAACAAAGGCTAAACATAAAGAATAGACAGGTAAGTTTCCCACACTGCAGAGTCACAGATTAGTAACTTAACATTTGCCATAAAAATTCAAGAAATTCCCAGCAGTATCAGCTCTAGACTSAGAATCTAGCAACACCCATGATTCTATGGCAAAGTTATTTGTCTAATGCTCCCAGCCAGCATGCAAACTGATCACAGTAAGCAGTCTGCTTTGCATTTTTTGTAATACAGCCAGCATTCCTGCCAGGGTTAATAAATTTGGTACTAAACATTTTCTTACTTATCTACAAGGTTTCTAAAGGCATTAAGGAGAAAGACTGTCTTGACACCCTGGAGCAGCCTCCATGACAAAGCTTGGCCTGAATGCAACGCAAWGAACTGCTACTTGCAAGAGGAACTGTTTTGTAAGAGAAAGACTACTCTCATTCCTGAATACTCTAGAGGAACACAAGTCACCTGGATGTTGAGAACTACAAGACTGTGAGTCCCACTTTCTTTATAAGAGGGAAAATAAACAGGAATTATGTTAAAAATGCATACATTTTAGGCTGTTCGTATCAAAGGAAGTTAAAGAGCACACAGCTCCATTGTTGTTCTGAAAGAGATGAGTTTTCACAAAGTTTTCATAAAGTCACACCAGTTCTCCAAGTCCCAAGAATTTGTAAAACACTAAAAAAGCATTAATAACAAATTGGTCTGCTTGACAACAGTGTTGTGAACCTAAGAGTGGAAGAAGCTGGAAGAACACTTAGGTGTGGCTTTTGTTTTATAAAGAGCCAAACCAGAGCCAATATTAGATGCTTAGAAAAAAGCCAAACACACTCTTCTCAGCTATGAATAACTACAAATTCTGCCTTATAGCAAACACAGCTGCAGTTTATAAAGCATTGAATGACTAGAAAAGTAAAGTAAGTTATATGAACTAGAGCAAGCAAGTAATTCAAGTTTACTTTAATCACTGATAGGGCTGCAGAAAATAAGGAGCAGCAGTGGAATAGGAGAAGCAATAAAGCAGAGAGATAACAAGTTATTTTCAAGGAGTACTAAGCAGTAACAGAAGGCGTTTACATAACATACATCTTAACAATGAACTTGTCTAACTGGCTTTTTAAAGTCAATATATTAAGTCTATTAACCATATTGACACTACATGTCAATGCACTCTCATTGTTTCTGTATTTTTCATTAGATAGGTTTGCATGAAATGCCCTATTTTCCCTGATTTGAAATGCATACAACGACTCAGATTATTGTGATATAGGAAAATTATTGTTGATAGCATTGTAAGTGTATTTAGAATAGATGTTATTCTATGTAGTATCATGTGAACACCCGACTACTGCTGACGCCAGAAGCTATAGGAAGACAGCACTAATCAAATAAAGCCACACCCTTCTTGGAAACAGAGTTCGGTGTTCTCCTCTTTCACACCGCTGCTGCTCCTCGGCACCTCAGAGTCATGTTCCTCCCTGCCTGGGACAGTCTCCCAGCTTTCGTCACTTGAGGACTGCTCTTTTTCCATAGCAGCAAAATAGGAAGGCACAGCTGCAGACCATTCTCCATCACTGCACTCTGAGCTGCAATTTAAACAAAGTAACAGAATACGAATTTAAACATTGCTTTAGGGGAAAGAAAACACAGACTCTGCCAGTTCCTACTTTTCTATCAACATTGCTCTCAATATAGGCAACATTTTTTCTATGAGAAATTAATCTTGTGCTCTTTATAGATGCATTACAAATCAACTGTTCACAGACCTGTGTCAGAGACTGAAATAATTCATGCCTCAAACACTGATCAAGAAACAGTAAGCTTCCCTGAGGATACCTGATTGGGACTTTGAGGACTGCCAGGAAACATGTTATTCAGTCATCTCTGGATGAAGGAAAAGAATGCATCCACACAAAAGCAGCAGAGATTCCTCCATGGCCAGATTTGGGGTCAGGGAGGCCACAAAACCAGATCTCCACACACTTTTCTCCCCCTTTCTGGGAGACAGAGGAAGGGAGGAAGTCACACAAACGGGCCTCACTGTGGAATCTCCCCCCGAACCCCACAGACCACCTCCAACGGATAAGCAGTTGAGGGGCTCTCATTATACATCAAAGACTCCCCGGTGAGTCTTTGCATCACAGGATGCAACTGATCCAGAGTGTGCGGCAAGCGGCTGCCCCGTTCATKGTTCCTCCCCGCCTTAATCCGGGGAGCACGACCGGCCATGCCTAGACATTGCTACCTATATTAACCCAGGGGATTTTGTGCTTTTCGGGAGAGCTTCACTACCAGCAACACCAGCTGCAGAGGACCATCGAAACACCAGTGAGATCCATGGAGTGGTGATACTCTTTTATTCTGTCCCTGTCACTCATTGTCGTCCCCCCCACCCCCGTCTCTTTTCCTACTTCTTTCTCTCCTCTCACATTTGCTTTGCTATCAAATAAAACCAATATTGTTGACTGGCATATAGTCTCGTTTGCACGAGGTATTTTTGCACAAGGTAATTGAGGCAGAGGTATTTCTAAGAACCTTTAATAATTGGATCATAACAACTTGATTAAAAAAAAAAATCAGTCTGTAAGAAAGAACTCAAGAATTCTGCCCATCCTACTTTGCAAAAATGTTTTGTCCTTCCCTTGCCACAGATGCAGAATACATGAAACAACTCAAGAATAGAAACCAGACACACTATACACATCTTTCTACCAGGTTACAAAAACAGTATCAGTGTCACTGCTTGATTAACAAATAATAATTAATGTCAGCCTTACCACTCAGCCAAGCAAATTCAAAGTAAAAGCTCTCAGAACATATAAGCCATATAGAATGATCTTTTTTAGCATAGAAAAGATACTGTGAAGTATTTGAATCACTAGCCCAAACAAGATGAATGGCAGTGAGTTTTTCAAAATTAGCACAGCCACCACATAGAMAACGGCAGGAAATAAGCTTTGGGCAGCTTAAACAAAATAACAGTGMTAGTGCAATCTTAGGAAGGATGAACTATTGCTACCATTGATAATGGCACTTAGCAAGTCCAATCATYAAAGTGACAGTTGACACTTACTGAAATTCAAAACAGTCAACTAGCTATGTCACTTCAAAAGATAGAGAAAGCAAATATGCAAACAGCCCACATGCTTAATTTATAGAGCTCATTTTATAAAGCAATCCACAACATCCACAGCATGGTTTTCAAATCTGCTAAATCCAGTATGTTTAGGTGTATCATTACCTCCATGCCTACAAGCTCACCCAGTTTCTCCCTTAAYCTGTTACTACAAATATCTGCCAATAAAATTCATCAAACTGAATGTTTTAAGTGCTTTTGAAAAAGCACATTGTATATACACTGCAAGTTTTACAGGAATAAATAAGTTTAAGAAGCAGATTATACATACACATTTCAATTTGAGGCAGGAATATATTTTTCTATCAATTTTGATGACTAAAAAAAACCACTGGAAATGAGAATGGTCAGTAATTTTCAGCTATTCAATTGATTACTTTAAAACAAAACTCATATCTATTAAGAAATTCTGATATGTAGTCTAATGCATCTCRTATTATGCTAGCTGAAGCTGAATACTGACATTTCTGAACTTTTTGTCCTGTTTGGCTCTTTGTCTGGTTTTGGGTTGGGAGCTTTGTTTGGTTTGGAGTGTTGTTTGATTTTTATGTTGTTTAACCAAGTTTTTTAATATATATTACAAAATTGTATCATAGATACTCTAAGACTAGCTGAAATACTCAAATCTCTTGTTTTAGTTGTCTTTATTTTACAATCCAGGAAAGACTTCCAACACACTTATAAATAGTACAGGTTTATACACAAACACTAATTCAAACCAGAAAAAGATATGCCTCAAGTCACTAATACTAAACAACTGAAAAACATAAAATATTTCAGAACTCAGGATTTAACTGTGCTCAACTCTGCAGAGGTACAAAACATACTTTAATGGTTAAGAGAGTTACAGATATGTCACTTGCCAAAAGCATAGCACATGAACTTAAAATCTGCATGTGGATTTTCCACAGTCTCTCCTCTGGCTGTATCCCCTCCTAACCTATACCAGCCATACAGTTCAAAACTAAACGGAGGGAGCTAATGGATATATACGATATTCACCCCTCCTTCCCTAACCTGGGACCTTCCAACACCCTTACAACTTAAAACGTATGTGGTTCTAACAAATATGCAAGATTTTCTCCTTCCCACGCAACTTCTTCATTCTGGCACCACAATAGCTGTGCACCTCYCTGAACCAAAAACGTGAAGTGGAGGCCCACACTGCAGATGTGAATTTCTCCCTGGGCTGTTAATAAGCTAAAACTGAGCTGAAGGGTGTAGTTTGACACATTTGTCAAATCCCCTTTTTATACATTTCTGCATAAACATGAAATAAGGTTTAGACCTTTAAATATAAAACTTTACCTTTCAAGAGTGAACATATTACTTCTTTGTATGCAATAATCATTGACAATTTTGTACAGACTAATCACTGATAATTTACTTCATAAACATAAGTTTATGAAACTTAATTATGGAGGTTCTAAGTTGAACACACATGATTCCTGTTTAGTGGTTCCATTACTGTCATCATCAAGAACATTTCAAATAATCAATCCATGTTTCTTTTTGTCATGGTACAATAATGCATCAAGGCATCATGAAAGCCAATGCTATAATTGTAGAATACATTCTACTTCCTTCATAGCATTTTAATCTTCTAGCAGCAGCATTTTAAAAGTGGACAAGATTATTCACTAACAAAAATTTTTGAGAAGTAAACCTTACAAGGAAGCAAAGGACTCATTTGCTTTTATCTTCATTAAGAATCACAGAACTGTCAGGGTTGGAGATTATCCAGTCCAATTCCCCTGCCAYGCTGCAGTCCAGCTTGGAGCAGGTGACACAGAACTAGCCAAGGGGGTTTGGAATGTCTTCAGAGAGGGAGACTATGACTTTCCTGGGCTACCTGTTCCACTGCTCTGTCACCCTCAACCTAAAGTTCTTCTTGTTGTGGTAGAACTTCCTATGTTTTAGTTTACAGCCATTGCTCCCRGTCCTGTCACTGAGCACCACTGAAGAGAGTCTGGCAACATCCTCCTGGCACCCACCTTGGAAATATTTATTTGTATTGATGAGATCCCCTCWCAGTCTTCTCTTCCCCAGCCTAACCAGGCCCAGCTGCCACCTCTCCTCATAASAGAGATGACCCAGATCCCTCACCATYTCTGTGGACTCTCTCCAGTCGCTCCTTGTCTTTCTTCAACTGTGGAGACCCAAAATGAATACAATACCCCAGATGTGCCTCACTAGGGGGGCAGGATCGCCTCCCTGCCCTGCTGACCACACTCTTCCTGATGCACGCCAGGATCCCACTGTGTCACCTGGCACCAAGGACACATGTCCCGTTCATAATCAGCTTGTCACCCACCAGCAGCCCGCACCCCCAGGTTCTTCCCAGCAGAGCTGCTCTCCAGTGYGTCAGACACCAGCCTGTGCTGATACTGGGAGTTATCCCCAAATGCAGGACTCTACACCTAYACCATGAAGAAAAGGAACTATGTCTACTATCCCATTTTAAAATGCATTTTGTTCTTTCATAGTTGCAATTCTGCAATATTTTAAGGATAAGAGATTAATTGCAGATTAATGTTCATGCTTTTCTTGCAACAAAAACACAGGAAACACAAGCTATTAAGCAGGTTAGCTTATGAAAGGCAAGCACATGCACAAAAGAGCCACATCAGTGTCCAGAAGATATCTCTTGTAAAGAATGCTGTGTGAACAGATCAACAAGATGAAAGCAAACTGGAAGRAAAATAGGGAAAAAGAATTATCACAAACATTATTGCATCTTCATAAATGATCAGAAGGTTAGAAATGTTTTCACTCTCAAATAGCTCAGTTACATAATTCCAATTCACAGTGAAAAGTTCTCAACCATTTTATAAATAAAAAGTAATCAACATAAGGCTTATCCAAATTAGTCTGTCTTTTGGGTGAAGTGCTCAAACAGGAGGAGATTGAATACTACTCCTGGTGTCAAGGTTGCACTAATTTATAAATCTGAAATTGTAATAATTAAGTTACTTTGGAAATACCTATTACTCTGAAGCATTTTCATTTAAAAAGGGATTATAAACAATCCTATCAAGTTATTCTTGAGATATTTCAAGAAAGAATAATTTCTTTCAAAAGGCAAGAGACAAGAGCATAAATAGGCTGCATGCAGAATATTGACTAAATATAGTAGCAAAAAACCAAATTGCAAAGAATAAGCCTAGAAGGGAACTTTCAAAGACCCATAACTTGCTAAAAGCCAGGCTGAACAAGGCTTTCAGTCTTTACCCTCCATCTGCTCAGTAAAAATGAAACAAAAATAAACAAGTAATAGTTCTCAGTGATAAGATGCTCTGACTACAGACATAAAGGAAAGGCTTTTTACATTACCAGAAGAGTGAAGGAGAACTGAAAGGAGAAGTTGGCATCTTTTTATCTGATCACATTCTGAAATGCCTCAAGTTTTTATGCCTCATTTGTTAATATATTGTTCAGTTTCACACATTATTACATGAAAGATTTGATACTAAAACAGCTATAAAAATGAAATTTTACCTGTCTTCATCTTTGGGGCTCATTAAATAATGTCTGTTGTGGTCTTCAAAGTCATTCCAAAAAGCACTGTCCCTTAGAACATTGTTTTGTTCTTGAGCTACTGCATTTCTTCTTAGGTCTATTTCTGTGTYTTTTTCAACACTGTGCATTCTTGAGAGAAAGAACACACCAGAACTCATCTCTTCTTTRCCATCTCTCAAGGGACACTCAGGATGGCATTGCTGGACATCAGCAATTCCAATTTTCCTCCAGGAATCACTGAGCTCTTCATCATCACTAGGGAGATGATTTTCTCTCTCCAGCTGTTTTGCAGTATTTTGTTTCCTAATTTTAGGTCTCACTACTAGCTCAGATGAATGTTCTTGGTCAGTCTCTCCATCACTGACATTTAATATGTCAGCAGTTGGTACGGGGGTTCCAATTCCAACATCCACTACATGTTTTATCTGCTGTGTTTCATAACTGGCACCACTCAGGCTAATTTTTGGTATAGCTTCATCTGYAGATTTAAGTGTCCTATTGTTTAGACATGCTAAAGGCATTGGTCCTGCTTCTTCACAACTTTCCCTACAAGTGCTGTGGCTAAAAGAAGACAGTTGAGTCTTTAAGTCTGGAAGAGAGTCCACCTCTTTTTCACACTGAGAAAGTATGTTATCTAGTCTTCCCTGAATTAGACCTGCTGCTTCTCTTATCCAAGAATATTTCTCTTGAGCATCCTCTTCTTCTCCATCACTGCTATCCAGCTCATAGGAGTCAATGTTTACAAAAGCAATTCCGTTCTTACCATTCAAACCATTATGCCCTCCATATGTGTATCCTGCAAGGTCCTCAGAATTTTCATAAGGATTCATAAAGTCCCGTGAGATTTGGTTGCCTTCTGGACCATAACAGAATACAGAAAATGGTGATGTGTTCACTTCAGAAGTTTGGCGTGATGCACTTTGGCAAACAGGCTCTCTATTGCCAACATCTTTTGACAAAGGCTCATCTAATAAATCGGGAGAAACTCGAACCAATGTACTGGAACTTTCAGTGAAAGCTGCAAGAAAGAATGCACTGGAATAATCAAAACCAGAAATATTCTCATCTACAACAACTTCTCATTTAAATAAAGGGATAATTTACTAGGACTACAGTGCAAATTGATAGAAACATTCATCACAGATGCAGTCATTCTTCAATAATATATTTACTTTCCCATTTATACAAACTAAGCCTATAGAAATAGTCTAAATTATACAATTCCAGCTACGGATGTGAGAGGTATTAAAGATAAAAAAAGATATTAAAGGAAAATGTACATAAGCAGAATTTCTACACTGTTTATATAAAAGGGAATTATAAGGTAACAGGAAAACTGAAAGAACTATTTTTCTCCATATTGGACTATCCATTCATTAACTGGCTAAATTGTGCCTTCTGTCACACTCAAATAAAGCCACTTATTGCTACTATAAATTACATACTAAGAGAACTGCATTTTGTACATGCACCTTTGAGTGGAACTCCTCCTAAGAAGAAAATAGCAGAGTTGAATGTGGTACTACAGTTAATAGTTATTTCATCACAAATGCATTTTAGTTATATTACATTTGAAAACGTCTTGCAAAAAGGGACAATAAACCAAATCTAGCAGCAAGAGTTAAAGAATATAAAAACATGTATACTCCTGCTGCTACAAAATCAATCCTTTGTTCAAGTAACTTTTAAACTCCCAACCAAACCAAGAGTCCAGTCTATTTTGTACAAAATCTCATATAAATCGTTACTCCATTACTAGGTTGGTGAATTCCTGGCACTGGAATCTTAAGAGAGCTATGCCCCTCAGCACTAGGAGTCTGGCTTCCAGGAAATAATACCGTATTTAATTAGAATCTTGAAGCTCCTCCACAAAATTGCTAACAGCCAAGGCTGGCTGGCAGGACCCTCTGGAGATCATCCAGCCCACTCTTCTTGCTCAAACATAGTTGCATATGAGATGCTGGAGAGCAGCACCATGTGAATGGACCTGATGGCTGAAGGTCCTGATCGGTGGCAATCTAGATCTGAGTCAGCAGTGCCCTGGCAGCCAGGACGGACATCCCTGTCCTGGGGAGCATCAGGCCCAACATTGCCAGCCAGGCAAGGGAGGGGACTGTCCCGCTCTGCTCTGCACTGGGGCAGCCTCACCTCAAGTGATGGGCAGTTTCGGGTGCCACAATTTAAGATATAAAGATAGGAGGACTGTGAAGATAAAGAAGAATCAACAGCCACATGAGGAGTGGCTGAGGTGACTTGGTCTATTCAGCCTGGAGGAGACTGAGGRGAGATCTCAGTGGRTTCTTCAACATCCTTCTGAAGGGAAGAGGAGGGCCAGACACTGATCTCTTCTCTGTGGTGACCAGTGACAGAACCTGAGGGAATGGCCTGAAGTTGTGTCAGGAGAGGTTTASGTTGGTTATCAGGAAAACTTTCTTCCCCCAGAGGGTGTTTGGGCACTGGAACAACCTCCCCAGGGCAGTGGTCACAGCACCAGCCTGACAGAGTTCAAGAAGTGTTTGGACAATGCTCTCACACCTGTAGTGCGAGCCGGACTTGTGGATCCTTGTGAGTTCCTCYTGACTCAAGAAATACACAGCATTTTTGGCAATATCTACCCACCCAAATAGAGTATCAGCTGGGGAAAAATGTAGCCTAGTGGAGCTAAAGAAAGTAAATCAATCCAAAAGGTTTCTGTAGAATAAATGTGAACAGTTGTGATACATACACAAATATAAAGGAAAGGCATTTTGTTATTAGACTAATTTACACACAAAAGAGTTATATTAAGACGAAGAAGATAAAACACCCTTAAACTGCATATATCTAATGACCCCTAAAATAACTATATGCTGCTGTCTGTGCAACTAAAACAAGAAATGTGATAGCATTATAGAGACAGTAGGAAGACCTCCACAAACATCAAAATTGCCTTACACAACATAAACTTTTAACTAGATGAAAGCATAGAAAATGCATGAAGCATGGACAATAATAAAAATAAAAAAAAATTAAAACCACCTCAAGATGATCTACATCACATAACAGATGACAAGAACAATTGAATACAAAGCTAAAACAGCACTATGCCATTATCATGTAAAAAGAAAAGTAAATTAAAATAAGAAAGCAATTTCAAAATAGTCTATTAAGGAAGGAGGGGGGGGAAAAACTACCTTATAGAGCCCTAGAATCACTTAGGTTGGTGAAGACCTCTAAGATAGCATTGCACTGCCAAATCCACCATTGGACCATGCTCCCTAAGCACCATATATACACATCTTCTCAGGACCTCCAGTAACTGGTGACTCCACCACTTTTCTGGGCAGTGTGTTCCAATGATTGACAGCCCTCTGTTGGAGATATCTTCCCTAAAATCAATTTTAACCTCCCMTGGTGTAATCTGAGGCCATTTCCTATTGTTCTGTCACTTGTTATTTGGCACAAACATGCATGCCCCCTCACACCAATCTCCACTCTGGTAGCTGTACAGAACAAGAAGGTCCCCGCAGAGCCTCCTTTTCTCCAGTTGAACACCCGATGTGTTCCCTCRGCTGCTCCTCATCAGTCTTGTGCTCCAGACCCTTTCCCAGCTCCATTCCATTCTATGRACATGCTCCAGCTCCTCAATGTCCTTCCTAAATTGAGGGGTTCAGAGTACTCGAGGTGTGGCTTCACCAAGGCCCAGCACAGGGGGCCAGTTACCACCCTACTCCTGCTGCCCCACTATTGCTGGCATAGGCCAGGTGCCCTTGGCAACCTGGGCACGCTGATGGCTCATATTTAGCCACTGCTGAGCAATACACCCAAGTCCTTTCTCCCCAGGCACTTTGAATGAAAATTAGTATAAAGGCAAAATAAAGACATGGGAAACGTACTTGACATGTTACTTAAGTGGCTAGTTTCTTCCCTTCACATTTCTCAATGTGCTTTCCTCCTCCACCCCAAGCATCCCAGTTTGCACCTACATGGCACATACACAAAGGTAAGTACATACATGAAGAATTTTTTTTCTGAACATCTTCCAACTCTAATTGCTTGCAGTCTTCATTCTGTTGATGTCCATCTCTGTCTTGATTACTCAAAAATGGTCTAAACCCAACATAGGAATGTCTTCTTCCACATCTTCCCCCAGTAACAGTCTGATAGCCTGCTGTGGGTTTGGGCCAGGCAGTTTTTCCAACTCCTTGGCCCATTGCTACATAAGATTTTGAAGGAAAAAGACAGAGACACTCATTAAACAATATATCTTTATAGTTTCCCACTTCCATAATACTTTGACATACTTCTTTTGCAAGGAATTTTCTATTTCTCTAAAATCTTGAGCTTCATTAACAATATAAATATAAGAAAATGTAATGTTATGTTATGAAAGCATCTAACTTGAGTTTTCATCTATACTAAATAATATTGGCAAACAATGATTGTGCCCCCATCTTAAGATGCTTTTAGTAAATACCAGACCTAATAAAAAAAAAAATCAAGTCCAGACGTCATAGCTTTTTGGTTTTTTTCACACMGATCACAAATCTCACACAACACATATATCAGCTTGCAGAAAAGATCTGCAGCACTATAATGGAAAATCCTTCAGGTAATACAGCACAATTCAGGCAGCCCTAGATAGCTTATCTTTGTGACTGGAAAAGTATAATTAATCAAATCACACCTTTTAAAACAAAAGTCCCAGGGAGAAGGCTTTATTCTTACTGCTAGAGGTAGTTGATTCAGGCATGGCCATACAAAGCATTGCCCACTTACTACTTCTTATTACAGCAGCTTTTCATATTAATGAAACTTACGTCTTTTACTAAGAAAATATGGGATAAGGAGTACAAAGGAAGTTGAGAAACAGTGGAGAAACGCTGCCAATATTGTAATAAGGAGAGATTTTAAATCATCAATACTATCAGCATTAATAATCTAACACAAGAGTTCATGCCCAAAGGCTCTTATTTGTACAAATGCAATTAAAAGTTCACTATTTCAGATATACAGAGACTTCCTTGTGTCCCTCTAAGTCACTTTTAATTTTTACTAGATATGGAATTAAAAAGTTTCTGTTCTTGAAACGCACCAAATTAAAAAGTTAACATTAAAGACAAGTAAGATAAAGTCTGCAACCATTAACATAGAGTATTATGAACTTCAGAAAAATATGAAAGCTTTCTTATTTCCTGGCTGTGCAAACTAATCCCTTCATTACCCTTAAAAAGAGAGTATCTATGAGCAGAGACATATGAAAGACATTGTAGAAAAAAATTAGCAGGTATCTGAGGCTTTTCTTCCTCACTTATCTATGAAGTTCTACATAGTTTGATTATATATGATTTTCCCTGTTAATATTTTTGGGCATTTGCCCAGACCTGCTCATACTACATTAAAAACCAGAAGCTAAAATGTTTGTTATTAACTATACCAATCCTACAATGTTTAGAAAGGTCAAAACTCTAGGATCTGTGGAAGAAAAAAAATAAAATCTCAGCAACTAGTGCAAGAAAAAAAACAGGACTGACAGTTCATTTTCTTATCTAGTCAGCCAGCAGTTATTATCCTTATTAAGTCAACCAACAAGTTATTTTTATTCAGCCAGGATCTGACAATTCTCAAGTTTCCCTTGATTACAAGAGGGTTGGTAAGCAGACTGCCAGAGGGAACTGGCCACATCCAAACCTGCAGACAAAATTCAGCAGTTAGATTAGTCAATCAGAGCAGCAATGCAGAAATCCATCCTCAAACAAATAGCTGAAACAAACAAGGTAAAAATAGAACAAAATTGCCTAACTCTTCATTTCATTTTGTTCTCTAAAACATCAGTATTGTTCAAAAACAGATGCCCACTCAAGAGTGTCAAGCTCTCTGAATGCAAGTGTTTTATTTTTAAAAAAACATGGTGTTCACAACATGCAAAATCTGTTTAATGCACTATATTTTTTGCTTCATATAATGCTCTTGCATACAGAATATCTCATCACATATTCAACAGTTCTTAGAAGATRCAGCAGGCAGTTATTATTTTTCTGTCCTGGGGAAGATTTATTGGATCGACACAGTGAAAGCTTTCACCACTCACTGGAAGTTTGGATGTCACAGTTGGTTTTCAGGAGAGGTTAACTTCTATCTAGATACAAAATATCTCAAAATAAGAGAAGGAGGCATGTATGTATTTACGTACATGCCTGAAATGAACAGCATTTAGGCATATGAATGCAGAGACCAATTTACGAGAAACCCTCCAGGCAAGGAAGCTGAGACACACAATATCCTCTCTCAGGTATTTCTTCCAGGTTTAAATGTAGGCATTGCTTCAGCAGCTCAGTTTAGCAAACCTGTTCAAAACACACCCAACATCCACCAACAAAACTGACCAGTCTTCGAGAAATACACACTAGTGAACAAAAAACTAAGGTAGGGCAAACAAGCTAGTTATTCACTTCTCTGGCTGAAGATGTTTTTACACACTTCTATATTTCTGAAACATTATTACAATTATTACAGCCACCTGAATTGCTCAAAAGGATCATGAGCAGGAAAGCATTTTGGATTACCAGAACTGGTTTAAAAAAGTGGGACAGACTGTCTCCTAAAAGGCACAGTTCACAAACAGGTAGGTCCAGCCTTTCCCAGGCTCTGCCTTAATCACTGCGAGGTGTGCTTCCTCTGTTGTTGCCAGTACTGCACTACGGACGCCACTCCCTAGAGACAGTAAATTACAGGCTGTAGCACAGAAAGCCTCTGAACCTTGACCAAATCCATCTGACTTGCCTAACCAACTTGACCCATTCTACAGGAACTTAAAAAACATTTAAAATCCCCAGTTTTTCCAGAGGTAAGTGTTCATGATTAGAGTTGATGCATGCACATGTGTTCACAACCTAGCACTGTAACTTGACTGTTGACCACAACACTACATTAAAAAAAAAAAAGTCAAACCAATTTCCAGAGCCAGATGTAGGACAACTGGAGTTTCCTGCTTGGACACATGCTGGCAGGATCCAGTCCTCACCCACTGAAGCCCAGTCACCTCCCTTCACCCTCCTCTCCCTTCATTACCTTTTGTTCTCTCCTGTCTCCTCAACTCCCTCACATACTGYGTGAGGAACAAGAGCAGCAGCTTTCTTGGGTCAAGGAGTGCACATCTGAGAGTCACCAAGGTGATGTGAGGCTGGAGCACCTTTCCTGTGAGGACAGCTTAAGAGAGCTGTTCTGCCTGGAACAGAAAAGGCTCCAGGGAGACCTTACAGCACCTTCCAGTACCTAAARTGGGACAACAAGAACAGGAGAGGGCCTTTACGGGGCATGTAGGCCTATTACACAGGAGCAGAAAAATTTGAGGAAAATGTGGCTGGGGGGCATGGAAGAAGAGTGGGCAAGAAGTTGGCGAGGTGGGGGGAAACAATTCCAAGTGATTTTCATCCCAAAGAGGGAAGGGTTGTCACCATYTTCTGCTACTAGAAGTATTTAACTAGCTTTCTTTATTTTAAGGATGTGAAGTTAGCCCCAAATGTTTCTTTAAGAAGTACTATTTCAGTCTTCTAATAACTAATACCTTTTTTCTTCCTCAGATTTTCTTAGCATTTGTGAGAAAAAATTAATGCATATTCTGGATGCACTCTCAACATTTGACATAGATATAAAAATAAATCCTTTATCCTATTCATTCACTTTTTTCCTCTTACATATATGAATTACAGAAAACATTTTCTTCTACAAGGCAACAACAGGGTATCACATTCAAGGTTTGAAAAGGGAATGCAAGTAATACTGACATGACAACTGTTTTCTAGGTTACCATCTTAAAAAAATAAATCTGCATTTATTCCCAGAAGTATACGAATTCATTTGGCTGTCAAATGGGCAATATTTAAAATGAACTCATATTCTTTACACTCTCTCCCTTGTCTATTTCTGAATCATAATGAAATCACACCAAAACTAAAATAAATGTTGCAGGTAAAAGTATTCGCATTGTCTTTTAAACTGTATTATCCAGGCCTTTTTAAGGAAAGAAAAAAAAAAAAAAAAAAAAAAAAAAATGCAAAGAAATAAAAGCAAGGACAAAGAATAATGCAAAAAAACCCCTCATTGATCACCATCAATGCTCAGACAGTTTCAAAGACACAGCTGCCTGGCCAGCCTCCTTCTCCCTGTTAGCTGAGGATGATGCTACATGGTCTGGAATGCAGAGTAGAGGTCAGCTGTCCTGGCGCTGTCCCTCTSCACTCCTTGTGCACCCCCAGCCTGCACACTGATGTGGGGAGGGGCAGAAATMGCCTTGGCTCAGTGGGTGCCCTGCTTGGCAACAATAAAAACATCCCTGTGTTATCAACACTGTTTTCAGCAAAATATATAGAACGCAGTCCTATGCAAATTCCCATGAAGAAATTTAGCTCAGTCCCAACTGAAAACAGTACCTGGATAATAAGCAAAAATCAAACCTCTTCCTTATGAATCCTATCCATTCAAACAAAAGCTCCTTCTTTAAATTCTCTGGTTTAGAAGTGGCTTTAGGCTGCTCACTAGGATATTTCAGAACACAGAGTGATTATTTCCATAAACATATCAGCTCAGCTACAAGTACACTGACAAATGCAATATGACTCAGGGATTTATTTTCCAGGCATTTCCTTTTCATCAGCCTTCCAGGTCATTCTGAATTCTTCTTTGAGTTACAGATTCCACAAAGTCAATGTTTTTACTCAGTATACTTCTTTCTCTTGCCTGAGGCTGGAAGTAGTCTGTGGTCCAATAAGCTGTCAGGTTGGCCTACTACCAATTTAATTTTAAATTAAAATAAAATTGTTTAGTTGTGTGTTTGGCTTTTTTACCTCTCAGATTACATTTTAAAACAAAAGACTCCAAAAAGCTATGGTCATAWTAAAATTTTCTGATACTGATCTGAGTCTCTTTCCAAAAGAGGGGGATGAACACCAGCAAGCTAAGAGCAGCTTCTTTCCATTTAAACACTAAACGGTTTGTTTTGCATTTCCCCAAAAACCTTGCAGTTTTGTATGCAATTTGTGCCATAAATGCAAAACTGAAATTCTGAAATATTACAGTCTATTAATATTATACATGTTTCTATTAATTTTACAAATAGTTACATTTCTGCATTTACCAAAGCATTAGTTCACATTCAGGCTAAAAGAAAATGGATTGGACATTATCTGCACACTCCAAATCTGAACTAATGACCACCCATAATCATCATAGACAATTCACAATTCTATCCAAACTATGAAAGGTTTTGCCAGACTTGAAATGGAGCAAGTGCTGCCACTATGCAAACAACAGTGAATGAAATTGTATGTGTGAAAGTATCAGAGGTTGCTCTGAAAGAAATACACTAGATCAATTCACAAGGAAGTTATAAATCAAAGCAGAGACACAAAATTTCTTTAAGTCCAGAAYTCCCTTAATAAGTGGAGACCAGTCATCACCTTCCACACACAGGAATACATGAATGGGTGAGTTGCTACAAACCACCATTGGAGATAGCTCCCTTCTGTCCTTAGACATCCTCTTAGAATTGAAGATCCTGCACAGCTCCCAGTCTCACCCAGGCTCTTCTGACCAACATGAGAGCACAGAATGTTGGTCACTTGGTCACTTCAGCCAAGGACCCAGGTTAGACTGGCTTGTTCTGTTGCAGCRTCAGGTGTGGCTGCAATGGTTGGCTGTCAAGCTGTAAAGCAGYCTGCATGAACTTAGTGAGCTCTGCCAGATCTCCTTCTTTGAGGATCTAAGCCTGTCTTSATTTTTAAGAAGCTCAGCAGGCAGTTGGATTAGCACAGCTGAGGCAGTCGAACTGAGCATGCCACCACTGATTTCACATAGTTTTCTGAGGGTGTATCTGCTTCAATGCTATACACAASTCCTGCATTATTTCCAGGTTTTTTGCACTGACCTGCTCTGATTTTAGCCCAGTCCTGTTTACTTTCTGATGCAAAACTGTAAATAGTTTGAATGTGTTTTCTTTTTCCCTTTCTGACTTTAGCTCAATCCTCTTCTTGATCTGATCTGATAAACTGACAGCTCTGCCTTACCACTGCAATAATCAGTTCTCCAGCTTTTACCCTAACTAATAGCTTCAGCAGAAATTACACATTAAATCTCAAGAGGGAAGATTAAGTAACTGCAGTACTAAAAGCTTTTAAAAACAAGCACAATGCATATGCCATGTACGTAACCAAGAAAGAGCAAGTCCCATCCTCCCTTGGAAAGCCAGCATTATAAAAAAACTAACTTTGCCAGTAATCCCTGTAGCAATCTGTTCTGTTAATACAGAACACTATTATGTGCTGCTAATCATCAGGCAAACTTACTTATCTCTTTACTTCCCCAACAGCACAAGTTTTTGCATTCTAAATGGGCGAACTAAACCAAGGGCACATAAGTGGCAATTTTTACCTACTGCTAGTTAGAAGATACCTAGAAATTCAGTCACACCACCCCCACCCCCATATCTGCCCTCTCTTTTTATGGCAGTTTAGATTAAGTTCTGATCATACACTTCCCAGAGGAGGAAGCATCTCTCCGGACCTGAAAGACAGGTTCAAATAGAAGCCAATAATCAACAAAATGCCAAGACTTTTCTATGCTTTAAGCCAATAAGGTACAGTTCTATTTTTATCAGTGCAGATGACCCCAACAAACTTTAAGAAACCACAACAATCACTTCCTTTCACCTGATAAACACAGCAACTAAGAAATGACAACAGAATCCCAAGGTGGAAGTTCAGGCCCTGGAAACTCGAAGACCCAAAGATGCATTTTTGTATTGTTGGCTATCATCATAAATAACAATTGTTATAACATGTAATCAAATGTTACCCACTATCAGAAATGGTAACAGCAATTTTAWAGTAATTTTTTAAGTTTGGAAGTTTTTAGATATTTGTGGGGTTTGGGGCTTTTTTTTTTTCCTGAAGAACAGTGAAATCTCACTACTTTAAACTTTTTCTTTCATAAACTTAATTCTGTGTCTTACATACAAGGATAACAAAAGCCAGCCAACAAACAAGAGAGCTCACCTGAAGTCAGATGGGCCTCTAAGACTTACAAATTTTAGGAGTAGATTCTGAGGTGATTCCAATATACTTGTGAAGAAGTAAGGTCATTCTCAAAAAGAGAAGCATGGGATACCATTGTCAGGTACAAGTAAACAACTGAGAGAGTTACTAATGGGGAAATAACTGGCAATATCCAGCTACGCAGAAGGGCAGTGGAGGATTACAGAGGACCACAACACACAGAAGTCAAGTCACTGCTCCTGTCTGCTTTGGCAAAAAGCAACATAAAGAGCAGCATTAGAGTGAAGACTAGAAGACAGGAAAAGTAACCACTGCATCCACACCAACAATGTAAATCAGATATTACATTCTGCATATAGCTTTTAAACACCATGCTTAAAAAAAACCCCTGTTTCCCCTGATACATGCAAAACACATGGAAATGACAAAAGGGAAATGTTTCTACCAGTAGGGACATTGTATCCATCAAACAGACTGCGTGGGGAGGCTGAAGAATATCCATCAGAAACACAGCCCAGAGAAAGGTACTCAAATAAAAATCCACTGAAGAATCACTATGAGGAAGGGTTGGGAGAGAGGAAAAGACTGACAAGAGAACTGTTTGCTGTTYTTACCAACCCCATGGTCATCTCCCTAAACACCCCAGAATTTCAGGTAGTTATTCTGCCCGCAGGACTGGAAACACAGGCATACATGYCTGCTTTTGGGTGGAGGGAAAAAATCTGTGGGTTTTTTCCTTCAAACCGCTGGTGCTACAACATGACTGCCTGTCACTATTTGCTTGTTTTAACTTAGAAGATAAATCAGAATTTATTTTTATTACTTTTACATACTTTTTTCTTTTTAAAATTTTTTGAAAGGTTACACTATTCATTATCCTATATGAAATTGCACTAGGTTTACATGGTGTGGTACAAGTACTTGATATTTTTTTTGTCATCTCTTTTTGAAAATCCCTACTTTTCACTTGAAGCATCTTATTACAATCATGGAAACTTATTACAGATCCAGTACCTAAGACCCAATTTTTAGGCCTCAAAACTACTGCAGCAGGTTCCTGACAATACTCTCAGAACCTTATACGACAAGCTTTTTTAAGCTACCAAACTACAAATATCTGATTCACCAAACATATAATGAATAAACCTACTTAACATATAGAGTTGACTATAGCAGCACGTAAACAGTAGGCAGATTTTTCTATGGTTTGAAATCATCTGGGTTATGGAAACTTCTCTTGAATGATTTCGARCATTCTGACACTAAACTGACAAGATAGGACACTTTTGTATAACCAATTATCATTAATCTCCTGAGAAATAATCTACAATGTACCTTCAGGTTCAGAACCATTTATCTGTATTATACTTTTCTACAGTATCAACTAGTGGCATCATTTAAATCTCAAACGTGTTAGCACCTTGGATTTTCTTTTTCCTGCTTTGCTTCTAGCAGAGAGATATTGATGATCTTGCAGCAATACATAAACATCACAGGGGACTTTAGAATCTGAGCAACCATGAACTTTGCAGGTCTTGTTTTAATAATTGTTAAGGACACACATATGTAGGTGCCAGCTGGAATTCTCTCTGCTTCCACAGTAACATATTTAGTTACCTGAATGCTATGTAAGATAACTAAACCTGTGTACAAAAACATAACAATTGAAATTAATCACATTTAAAAAGCTGGTTTAAAAGACTCAGAATTATTAATGCCATTGGCAGCAGAATTTATAAATATTTYTTCCCATCATGACACGAGCATTTAGCAATTTAAATGACCATCCACTCTGTCAACCCTGCAGAGTATTGTACTCATTACTACAAGCTCATCAATAATTATCCCAATTTTCCATATAAATAAGTGATAGCTCTGCTCCACATAAACAGACAGCCAGGTGTGGCCTGCATGACAACCAAGGTTCTTGTAAGAGCTACTGTATTTTGCACTTTGACAATTCAAGCAACTGCCCCCATATTAAATGTGCACAGCACTATTACAAGCACTTCAGGACATTCCCCTGATAAAATGAACAGTGTGTTTTGTTTGAGTCCAGGCCACCAAAATCACAGAAGCTCAAGTTCCAGACACTGGTTCAGGTCAGTGTGTCCTTTAGGGATAATCACAGTACCCTCTGTCCATAGATGTTCTGAACAGAAGGCTGAGGTGAGCTCACTGTCCTTCTCCAGTCCTCTGGTTTATCTCCACTTATTCCACATCTGAGGTTGTTTCTGTAACTTGAGCATTATTTCAAGGTATTAACTGAAGTCTTTAAATATATTTTCCAGCTGAATTAAATGCTAAGCAACCCTTTAGAACCTGTCAAAATACAAACATATAGATACAAGATTGCTGAAGAACCATTGTAACTGCAGTGGGCTCTAYAAGGCTTACAGACCTATCCACTAAAATTCAGGGAGGTCATTACTCTATCAGTGAATAAATTAATTAGGACAAATTTCTTTCCCATACTTCATTCAAAATACTATTTAGAATTATCAGGACAAGCCTTGACGGAATGGTAAATTTAATGGTCACAGCTTCAAACAACCTTCACACTTCCGATTAACTCAGATGCCAAATGAACATGACTCATCCTGCAAACCACAAGCTGGGGACTGTCTGCCCCACAAACAGCACCTACTGCTGTACAGCACAGTCATTTTTTTTTGTTTCATTCAAGCCTTCCTAGGAGCTTGAGAATCAAAATAAACACAGCTCAACCAAGTACTGTGGGCCACCAGGGAGATTACTGTGTAAACATGGCAGCAACACCAGCAAAACTTTTTGCAATACCCATTGCAGTGTTTGCAAAATCCATCCTACACATCCTCTCAGTGTTTTTCATTTGCTAGGCTACAGTTTTTGCAGAAGTATACATCTTCATGGGATCAGCTAACAAGGCAACAATTCACAAGCATTTCTTATTTTGATGAGGCTTCAATCTGTCAAAAACTCTTGGATCTTACCTATACTGCATTGCAATTCACTGTATCAGCAAAATAAATTAAAAACCATGCCTGGTTCACAGAAGTTTCCTGATCTTGCATTTTAATKCAACTTCAAAATAAAGACTTCTGTGGACAACTTTTTTCCAGACTTTTTCCTTTCTCTACTGGGTGAGAAAGAGCAGGAAATCAATTCTGTGAGAGTCTGACTCAGCTACAAATAAGTTTATTTTATTACATCCATTTGCTTACACAATTTTAAATAAGCCTACTTCTCCCAAATGAAATTTCAATCCATAAAGTATGTATACTTCATTTTTGCATTAAAAGAGAACACTAATAGTCTGACACCAATCTTCACTGCTACAGTACATATTTTTTTTTCTAGATACTGTGGCAGAAATCTAATCAAAAGTCATTCTTCCAAACTGCTTAACCATGTGAACAGACAAATGCAAATCAAGAACTACACTGAAAAAAGAAGTGCTGAATATGTCACAGTATAGAAAAAAGACCTAAACACAATCTCTAGGCTTTCAAACACATCCTTTAAAGTACTCAGTCTCCAAACTTGAAGTAAACTTCCTAAGTATTTGTGCACCATGGAGATTCACATGCTATGTAACTCAGGTTTCTCAATGCTAATTCACCAGCAGTACCCAGTCAACCCCATGTACAGTGCAGGGCATCCTGAGAATGCTCATCATCACAGCCAACACTGACAAGCACTTCCAAGAGAACTTTTAAAGGTGCAGCAGGAGTTGCTACRCACCTCCAGAGTCAAAACCCATCCCATGCAGTATAACTATATGTATTAATATAACGAACTCGTGTGGAAGAAAAGGCGTATCAGCAACAAGCACTGAAATATGTCCCCTGGGTTCTGGGCCCAAAGCACGTTCCTTCTGACCCTGTGTTTGGGGGTGGCTCTGCCGGCTCAGACYACCTCTTCTCTAGCAAAGAGAAAAGTGTGAGTGTTTCACATGTTTGCTGAAGCGATGTCAAGCGATGCCACTTCGGCAGTGACCCTGTCACACCCGGGCTTGTTGGCTATCGGCAGAGGCTGACACAAGCTAGACCCCGCTCAGGGTTCTCCCCTTTCCCCGGGGTACTGAGTCACTGCCATGGTATTGTGGGAAAAAAAAAATACAAAACACAACAAAAACCCCCAACCAAACACGAACCAACCAAACCAAAAAAAAAAAAAAAATTAATTGCAAACCCTTTGCTCCGACGGCCTGCCCGTGTCCACTCTGTTGCTAAGCGCACCCCGCCGGCTCCCCGCACCACAAGCGGCCCCGGCCCCTCACGGACGGGCACTCGGGGGCCACCATGGCCCACCCGCGGTGCCCTCTTGACCCACCGGCTGAGGCCCCCGCCCTCGGCCGCAGGCCCGTCCCGGAGCGAAGGAGCAAAAGAAGGAGCGAGACCGCTGCCCCACAGCATAAACAACCGCCCCCGAGCGTGCGGACGGCTCTACCCGGTACCCCCGGCTCCCGCCCGCCCCCTTTATGGGCGCCCCGCGTTGCCGTGGCCGGAGCCGCACTCACCCCGCCCGCTCCCGCCTCCGCCTCCCGCCCGCCGCCGCCACCGCCGTCAATCCCGCCGCCGCCGCGCCAGCAACGGCCAATCAGAGGCCAGGGCGGAGGGCAGCGACCAATCCTGGACGGGGGCAGGGCGGAGGGCAGCGACCAATCCTGGACGGGGGGCGGGCTCTGGGGCGGGGCCGCGCCGGCTGTGGGGCAGATGCGACGCCCAGAGTGATCCGGGCCTGGTGCGGCGCACACACACACCACAAAGTCCTGAGAAAGTCCTGAGATGGGGCTTCAGCCGCTTTTAACCGCTGCTTTGTAGGGTTTGTCTTGGTTTAGCCTCTCTAGCAGCCCCGGACAGCCGCTCGCTCACTCCCTCACAAAAGTCATGCCTTGGGATATAGTTAGTTTAGGGAAAYAGGGTAAGCAAAAGCCACGCACACAAGCAGAGCAAAACAAGGAATTAATTCCCTGCTTCTCATGGCTGGCCCGGTGTTCAGCCATCCCCAGCAGTGCAGGGCCCCGTCACACTAAGCATGACTTGGGAGGACACATGCCATCACTCCCAACATCCCGCCCCCTTCTTCCTCCCACTTTATGCATTGATCGTGATGCCATATGGTCTGGAATATTTCTTTAGACAGTTTGGGGTCACCTGTCCCAGCTGTGTCCCGTCCCAACCTCCCACTCATCCCCAGCCTCCTCACCAGCGTAGAAGTGAAAAGCAGAAAAGGCCTTGGCTCTGTGCTATCCCTGTTGAGCAACA